ACCAATAACATCAAAATAAAAACCCATATGTTAAAATTTTGCTGTGTTCCATTTAATATGACATAAATTATCTAATTCTTCTCTGTAATTAATGTAACAAATATAAATACAACTAATTTTCGAAAAGAATAAAGTGTCTTTTTTATTAAAGTTATCTTGAAATTGCTATTACTTGTTTGCTTCCTCTTAATGACAACTTTATGTAAACATTGCGTCCGTGACAGTCAAGAGAGTTGGGCGATGTACGTACATTTTCTGCTAAAAGTATCAATACAAGTGTCAATGTCCTGTTCGATGTAAATATGTTTAATAGTCATGTTGCTCAAACATTTCACTGGTTGCGAAAGGTACTGAGAATAATTTGCGAAAGGTACAAGAAATATATACATTTGATTTTCATCCAAAGAAATCGCTAAGAAGAAATTCATCCAAAGAAATCGAAGAATCTAATTCATCCAAAGAATGATTTTTTCAAAACACATTTGGGAAACGTAAAAATTCCGTAAATTTTAAGATAGCTAAAAATCAAAATGTCTCTTTCACACGCTTTACGTTGAATGACATATTGATAGAAGTTAATTTCATTTCACCAATACCAAAACCAACATTCTTTAAGTAACTTAGATTCGCATTATCATATTGCTAGATTTTGCTAGCAAATTTCACGTGAACTTTGAAAAGAAGGATAAGGTGGAGAATACTTGCAGTATACTGTGAAATATTACATTTTTATTTCACGAAGTTGCATTGGAATTGTTTATGGACTTTTGAAACTTCCCCATGTCCTGTATGTCGTACATCACATACAAATACACTAATATGTATGAGTCATAGTACTCGTGAACTGCAAAATTATACTTATCTTCTTTTATTCTACTAGCATTTTATACGACAGAATTTCTTACTAGTTGTAGAGAAGAAAATTGTTAAAATTAGTTTCACAACTTCAGACTATCTCGAGGCCCCTGTAATAACTTTGCTGCAACTTTCACAATCAGACTGCTGATTTGTCTTAGATACCTTACAAGATAGAGAAGCAGTAAAGTTATTACATTTTCACGAGGTAAAATATCATCTATTCAAAATTTCATCTAGTATTGAATTTAACCGAAAGTTCTGGAACTTGTTTTTACCTTTTTCAAAATGAAGTTTCAAATTAGATTTCAAATTACGAGAGAAAGAAAAACGTTTCAACTGATTTCATGTAACACCTACATTCAGGTATACATTCTTATGGTATTTTACGAAATTTATTAATATTCAATACATCCGAAATTTTTCAAAACGAGTTTTGGAGAAAATGTCTCTGTGAAATAACGTCGATGTCAACAAAGACAAAACGAAATAACACACAAAATAACGTAGACAGCGACACCTTTTAAACGAAACCTTTTCCTAATAAAGACAACACACAAGGTTGTCGAAACGTCATGCGTAAAAGATCAAAAGAACTAAATAAATGTTTATTTTAATTTTGTGTATTAAATTATTCATGTAAAACTTCAACCCGTCTTTGATACAATGAGATCGTTCTCTTTCTACAAGTTATCATTCAGACGGCTATATTGAATGTATTACCGATTTCGGAAAGTTCGTCAATCTTTCTGATACCATGCACTAGACACCGTTGTAGGATCCTGTGGGATCTTCAAGGGCAGCATCCACGAGGCCTTTTGCAAAAGTATAAGCGTGAAAACGAATATAGTATCCCAGGCCTAGCTCGAACCCCCGACCCTTCAAGCTGATGCTGAGACTGTTTATTTTCCACCTCGAACATTTTCTCCGACAAATAATTGTTTCTTTAAAATTGAATATCATGCGACGGACATCTTGAACTAGGGATCGAATGCACGGATCTCCCTATGCTTTTACACGCTGCCCGCAGAAATCCTCCCCCCTTTAAAGGACCCCCCGAACGAGCGCCGAAGCCCCCCTCGGGCTTTCGCTCCCCGCGGCCTTCAGCCCGCCGCCCCGCTCACCCGGGTCGGCGATTTTCCCCTCGTATCGATGCAGCGCCCATAATGAATCGCCTCACCTCGGCCATTAAGAAGACCCTCGCAGCCGTTCCATTACGCAGCGCGATTAATACACAATGGCACAGGCGAACGACGCACGGTTCCACGTGTACGCATGAAAACACGATTCCAGTAAATATGAGAATTATCGTGCTTTTCTCTCGAAAGCGTAACTGACAACCACTTACAAGAGATTTATGAAGAGTAATGGTACTTTCGAAGAAGCACCGGAGTAAACTTTTCGATGGAGATTTAACCATATTTCCACCAAATCTAGCGAACTTAAAACGAATTTTATGACTATATCAGTCATTAATGGACAAAGAAGATATGCTAGGACCGTAATTTATATCGTGGTTTCGGCCCAAGATATACAATACATCAACATAAAAAGTTAGAATATTACGTACATGTGTAACCTCGAAACACGCAAGCTCTCCCCTAAAAGACCCGAAACAAAGACTCTTGTTTTTTTTTAATTGTTCACGTCACGCCGGCGCTGCTCAACAACTTTTTGCGTGACACAGCAAACGCGTCGACGCGACCTCCGCTACTAATTATTTACGAGTTTCTCAGTGATCCGTAATTAAAGCAATAAGTAACGCACGATTAGACGAGCAAATACAGTTCCAGTCAATGGGCCGTTGGCTTCCAGTCAAGGGGAACACATACGTCAAATTCTGCTGACGCGGCGCGCGGCGGAGATAGGCCTGACGCACTGGCTCGCACCTGCGGGGTCACGAAGCCAGCGCGCAGCGCTGGAATAATTCGCAAGAGGCGGGACGTACGACGCTTGGGGCTTTTAAACATCGCTCATAGACATTTAACTGGAGCGTTTACGAAAGGACCTCACGTTCGCGAAACCGGGAGCTTTCTCGTGCATTCGATTTGCATTCCACATGCTTCTCATCAGATTCGCTAATCTACTCGGAAATTGTTTACAGAGGTTTCTGAACAGAATTCCTCAACCTGTATACACTCAAGATGTATTAAGTAGTAGTGTAAATTAAACTATGCCTACACTACATATGTATTATACTTTGTAACATTTATCTACGAAAAATCGATCGAAGGAATAAAATTAAATTTAAAGAAGAAGTTGTAGCTGTGAGACTGGAACCGAAAGTTCGTTGGACAGGAGCAATGGCGTCTGTCGAGATGCGAGGGGGCGCGGTCTCCCTGAAAATTCGAAAGGGCCCCGTACCCTTACGCTACAAAACCTTTTATTTTCATAAATAAGATAAATTCCTTAATTCCCATTTTTAAGCAGAAAATCTGGGAAATTGATACATGACATTTAAAGAAACTTTCTAAACCACTCGACAACCCTGTAAATGATTCAACGTAACATTGACTTCTTGGCTGTCCGGGAGACGACGCGTCGAGAGGTCGACGTTACGCCTGACATGTCGCAGGGCAGCGAGGAAGAATTCATGGAATCGAGCCGCGGAAGCTTACGTGTGCATCTCAACATAAAATTGTCTACATTAATTTATATAATATTCGTTTATTCATTTACTTGTAAAATGCCATTGTAACTAAAACGTTTAATGAAAAAGGTTTTTGTAAACTGTCGATTTGGGAACTTTATACATAATAATTGAAGAAGACGCTCTCCAATCCATCTAGCATCTCTGCAAGCAGTTCAACGTCAAAACAATTGCATTTATTAATTGTATAATTGAACTAATTTTATTATCCTTTGATTACGATTTATTTATTTTCTAGAAAATAAAGTTTAATGGGAAAGGGGCAAGAGACTTCCCAAAATGTAGTTGCCCCTCCCTCCTCTTTTAGGCTGCGTACACCTATAGTTATAACAGCTCAAATATGTAGGATATGATGTTATGAATGCATATATATTTAAAGGTCCCGGATCAAAAATATAAATCACTGTTTAACTTGCAAAATTCGCCAATGCTGTGTAAAAATAGAAAACGCGGCGAAATTTTTTACCATGAATCTTTTGAATTGTTACCTCAACACAATAACATCCTAAGAATAATTTTGAAAAATCTAACTCGCTTCTTGGTGGAATTGCTATGTGCATTTTTTCTTGATGTGAGCTCTGTCAATCAAGTCTCAACTTTTCAGACGAAACTACCGGTTCAAGTCTCTATTTCTTGTTACAATATAAAAAAGAAATTACATCATTCGTATTCACGAAACCTTCGGATCATTTTGTTACCGCCGAAAATATTTTAGAGAAAACAGATACGGAACATTTCGTTGGGCACAAAGAAGTAGCGTTGCGCAGACTTCCCATTCACGTCCCACACGATGAAGAAAATCTCAGCTCACTTTCACCGTTCCACAATTACGTATTTTGTGTAATGGCACGAGAACAAAAATCGAAGCAAATACGATACATTCAATTCGTAATTCCGAGAAGAGGAGAAATTATCCTCTTCTCATTTCTTATAAGTAGAATGCACTTTTAAGTCAAATGCAATTCCTTATACGTGACTGATGGAAAAAAAATCATTTAAAAACTATTCATCATAAAAGAAATACTTCATCTATGTCTAGGACAGAAGATTGTAGAAAGGAAGGTTCTGCATTCCGGGAGTGACTTTGAAACTACATTATCATCTAGCAGTTCTTAGGTGGGTTGCTACGTCTCTACTTTCCAGCCCTCCAATGACCTGGGAAGCGAATGTACGAATGAATACGAATTGCCCTGAAACCTAAAGGCTCTGAAACTAATTCATTAACACTCATGAGGACCTTACCTAGATTTTTCTAGAAATCTCCACCCCTAGAGTCCTCAGTACTGCAGACAACTGGCACCCTTCGTTCACATCTCTCAAATGGAAATCAGGATAATTCTATGTAAGTATTACTTTTATTGTTATTGTTGCAATACTATTTCTCGGTTACATTACAGGAAAACATTACCCGACTCTTTACAGTCATGGTCGAAGATCTGGACACGCATTTACTCTCATATCCACGTCTAAGCGTACAGGATTTTTCTACACATATTCAATATATTATTTGGTATTTTGACATATAAACATCATCATCATCATCATCATCATCATCATCATCATTATTACTATTTACCATTATATTACTACTTAACCATTACCATATACTATTACTATTAACTATTACTATTACTATTATTATTACTATTATTATTACTATTAATTATTATTATTATTATTACTACAACGTATTCTTCCCGGACAATTTCCACTCTTGTAAGAGTGACACCAAGTAAAGGAGGAATTCAGTAGGAACCGAACACCCGCTGGGCCCACCGGTCAAGACGAATCGTCTGCGTACTCTTGAAGACGGCCATCCTCCGATGCGGCATTCGCGTGGCCAGTTAGTCTCGCCAGAGGCCCGCGCAGCCAACACTACGCCACGCGACTCCGAGACGGGACGCAACGTCGGAGGCCCCGAGGCGCGGGCCGGGGCAGCGCAGCGCTGCCGTCGCGTGACAGTTACGTCACGAGACAAGCGAAGCGCGACGGCCCGTCCGCGCCGCCGCACGCGCTTTGTGGTGCCCTGCCGCCGAAAAAGGAACTGCTTCGACTTCCCTCAGCCACGAAAGTGGTGCGCGGTTTCGGATACACTGTCGCGATTCTGTGGTGTGTCACGTGGGCTATTGTCTTCATGAGTCTTTCTTTTGCCTTCTTCCAGGCGCGTGGCACTTGTTTCAAGTCAACTTCAACACGTTTAACATCTGTTATAGCTTGTAACAATTTCCTCTTTTTCACACTTAATTTTTGGGATTCACTGAGATTCACCGGATGTTACGTACTCTTTTATGAATTTGGTTTCATTAACCGAACATATTTTCATTAACGTCTCGTCTTTTCGCGCATTTTTCCGGAGTGCTCCAAATAGATGTTTCCAATCGTACATCATCTCCACTTTATTTTTTAAACACATTTTCAGAATCTTGTATGAAACACTACTGCCTGGAAGAGGTTCGTTCGTGTACACCAATAAAATTGTCACAATATTAGCACCTACCATAAAAACAAGATAGTTATGGCGAAGTTAACGCTTCCAACGTAAAATAGGGCAATTTGTCCTAGACAAGAAGAAAACAGTGTAATAAAAAATATGTAGAGATATAGATAAAGCACAGATGCTTTATAATGAAAAGGTACTCTCTGAAATAATTCAATACACGATAAAATTTGTTTTGCGCACCAAATTCAGTTACGGCCTATTGGCACGACCTTCTCTCGACTTATCGTTAATGCGTTTGCGTCTTCCGCAAGCTGGAAAGCAATTATTGTAACAAATGACGGTGATAAAGCGCTGGCTTTACGAGCACGCCCCCGCCCGGGCACAGTCCGCGCTGACGTCACGGGCAGGTGACATACAGCACGCGATAAGAGCTAGGCCAACAGCGCAGTGCCTCGATTATCGCGAAGGTTTGAGAGAACATGTCGCTCTAGTCGACGTGGTGCGAGCACATAGCGATCGCGCAACAAATTACTGGACGAGCTTGAACGAGTCGGTTTCGAGAATGAAGGAGGAGAGATTTACACTGATTTGTACTCTGTGTTTTGTTACATCACATCATATTTTCGTTACTGTTACAATGAACTATTTTCTTCGTAGAGATTCAATGTGACAAGAATCACAAAATAGAAATGCCGCTTAATCGAAATATAACACTTTTGATACATAATTGGACTTGACAGTTGAAAGCTGTACGTTTATGAACCAACCGACAGCTTCAGAAAATGTTACATTACCTTGGGGTATATTTTGGATGTTATTGGTACAGTATAGCAAGTTTTTATTTTGAATGTTAATACACTTAATTGTAGCTACACTAACAAGAAAAATACTGAATAATTATGAAACATCAACAATTTATTCAATATTTATACACAGTTAAAAATCACCGAGTAAACCTTCATCACCAAATCAATATCGAAAAAGCAGATCTAACTTAAAGATGTCCTTTAGACACATGCTTGACCATTTACAAAATTTAGAGAACACCTTTGGATAGATTTCAAAATTTTCCAGTATGCCATTGAAATCTTTCTTGGGTTTGTTTAAAGTATTAAAATACGAAATCACGGTTAATCCTTTGCTTGCACAAACTTCTAATTTCCACTTCCACTTTCTTCCAATAACATTCGATTCACCTGAACGTACAATTCTGAAGTTTTGCAGAAGTTAAAATTCGCCATTCTCTGAGGAAACTCCGAACAAGGACGAATACGCTCTATGAAGACGACTGGCGCAGGCAAACGGGCGGAAATTCCACGCGTCCGACCTTGCAGCTCCGGATATGAAAGCCCTTCACACTTCCGGCCTGTAAGAGTGTTAGAGCTTCGAGGCTTCGACACTACGCACGCCCTCTTCCTTAACGCAACGTCATCAGACAATACAGACAATATTCAATTCCACTCAGTAAGGGAGAAAGTAAAGTATTTCATTAAATGAAGGTTCCCACAAGGGCTAACGTGAATTCCATTTGGTTAAAAATGCGCAGTAATTTTTAAAAAATATCCGACGAAACTATTGAATGTAAAAACTGTTCGGAGCCAATATAAATGCGCTCGACTTCCTTCGAATTGTTTTCAAATGAAGAAATTAATAATTTAGGAACACTAAACCCGTTCATTACATTTTGTTATGCATTATTTGAAATAAAATACCCAAATGTACACAAATGCATTAACATGACAGCTCGGAGAAGCAGTTTACTCACCAAGTTCATAATGCATTTCTCGTCAACATTTTGCATATCGAAGTACTTATCCGGAAGGCCCAACAAGTATACTTAACATTAATATTATAAAGGCGACCTCTATAAAGAATTATTATTACGAAGACGTAGATTGATAGTCTATCTTGGGTGAAAAGAATGGAAAACTTATTTTTACAATGAAACATTAAATTTAATGGATTGTACTTGTATGATAAGGAGTTACAAAATACATTTAAAGGTTTTCATAGATGCACCTAACAACAGAGACTTGCTTGGTGATGTTCACCCACGGCTTTTCAGCAGTGAACCGCAGAAGTACTTCGTCATACGACCTTTCTTATGATCGCCATTATCCCATTGTGTTCAGAACAAAACTTAAATGCTACAACACAAGGAATTAGTATTTTATATTTACAATAATCGCCAATACAAAGCTCAAAATATCACTGATATAACTCCAAAGGCGTAGCCTAATGGACGACGCGTGGTAAAATGGCGTATACCAGAAATAGGCAAGCGCACAATACAAAAATACGCGTATTTCACTGCCTACAGATACACTGACTTTGAGAAACTGGGAGCGAGGAAAAGAAAAGATTGGGGGCGACACACGCTGTGGAATTTGACAAACGACACCTTTGTAAGGTCCACGCCCCGCATCAGGACATTGAAAGACACAGCATGAGAGGCCAATCAGAGAGAACAAAACACAATTGTACGTTCAGATGAACCGAATGTTATTCGAAGAAAGTGGAAGTGGAAATTGGAACATTGGCGTGTGTGAGGAATGCTGCTTGTAATCATAGCAGCAACCAGAAATCACGACAAAGTAATACGAAAACCACGGCGAAAAATAAAATTATTTTAAAAACAACCAACATTATAATCCAGATTGAATGAGCAACACATCCTTTGCATTTGGAAGCGGACATTTTCCAAGGATTGGCGTTAAGGATTCTTCTGGAGTTCAGTTGAATGCATTTGTATTTCTATCAAGTACACTGGCGTTTAAGTTAGTGTAAATCCTTACAAGTCCCTACAATTCAATTCATTGATGCGTGAAAAAACATTTTTTTAATGAAAAAAATATAAATACTAATATTAACAACGTAAGTCACCACATTTCATGGTTGAATGATTTAGCGTTTCCGGGCGCGTAAAATATTGTTGTTAGAACCATAAGTGTAGTGTAGGGAGAGAACGGCACGAGGGAACCTACGTGTCGGGTTGCGAGGTTTTCTCTCCCCAGGTATTATACCCAGAAGGGCATCGCCCTTATCAGGTCAGCTCTAAGCTCCTATCTGGGCACCCGACATGTGTGTATGTATACAAGGGCACAGAGGGGTCAATAATGAGTTAGAAAAGATTGTTCGCAGTTCCTGTCCCGTTTGTTACGGTACCGCCCCCCACAAACGTGTAATTGACCGAAGATATCACAGAAAAATATCGATCAATGCAGGGCGACGCTAGAATGTACCTCCAGTCAGAACCTAAATCCCACCAAATTATGTAGCTAGTTTTGATAATCCGCCACGGGGGGGGGGGAGGTAGTTCGAATCTTACTCTCCAATTAGCGATGCTGGGTCGCAACGGCAATGCTGCGTCTGTGCCATCCCAGCCGGAACCAATTGTACGGCGTAGAAGACCACTTGAAATACATTTCTACGTGTCAAACCTGGGAGTTGTTTGCGAGCTCCGAGGAGCAGGAAACGGGCCTGGCTCGAGGCATCACGGGACACCCGCGTGCCGCCAGCAGGTGCAAGGTGGTCGAACAGCCGCTTGGGCGTGCGAAGGCGCTCTTTGGTGGCGGTGGCGGCCCGGCACAGTGGGGCAAAATGTCAGGGGCACGTCAAAGAGTGGATACTCCATGCAAAAGCGTGTGGGCGCTTGAACCCAATCGATCGTGTAACACCATACAAAATGAACGTATTAAGTTTAAAATTAAAATAGGAAAAAAGGAATTTTTTGGTTAATTTTATTTTATGTTCCTATCAACTTTAAACATTTATCGCCTTGAAGGCAGATGTTTCAATTTCACTTGTGTAAATGAATGGGCAGGATGAAAAATGTCTTTTCGTAGTATTCTCTTTTACATTATTTTTTGAAGAATCGACTTTTTAAAAATTCTGATCAACATTCACTTACCCCAAACTACAAATTACTCAAATTATGAACTTCAGTATACTATCACGAGACTTCTGTATCTTGGTTTCGGTTCGAGAAACACAAATAATTCATTTTGAAATAGCCCGTTTTTTGCTCCTTCCTCTTCTTCTATTTTTCTATTTATTTCCGACTATCTTCACTCACCCTATAATATGAAGTATTCTCCCCCCTCTCCCATCTTCAATCCCCCTCTCCTTTTTTCCCGAAAGTCAGTTTTTGCTGGAATTGGACTAGCGGGCGTCAGCGCCAAGGTGAGTTCAAGGCCGCCCTCGGACGACGTCGCCACCGCTCACACCGCTCCTCACGCAAGTGAGCACGCGCTGGGTGGAACGCCTCACGCCGAACGGGCGCAAGGGGGGGGGGTCTGAGAGCAGCGAAGAAGGTCGAGTGAAGAGGAAGCCAGTGCACAGGGGGCCTTGCGGCGCGACAGGTGAGGCACCCAAGTGGCACGGATGCACGGCAAAGGGCCGGATGCAGAATTCCGCCTTTAGGGACGGACGTCGTGTACACTAAACTTATTGTAATGGGTTTCCAAGCCCCCAATTACATGAAAATTGAGAATATTCAATCGTTCGAGGGCGAAATATACGTCCTGTTGTCTTCCCGTTACTTTTAAATGGGTCGCACCGTACGATGGTATATAGAATTCGAACTCACCCCATGTTTATTAAATACATTTTTAATTCCCCTTATGCAGCTTGTTGACAAATGCGATTATAGCCACATTTCGGAATGAAGCAAATGTGAACTAAAATATTGCGAGGAATAGGAGTGAATGTTCTTGATGTGGATTTGAGGTGGCAATGTTCGTCCGACATTGTACTCTTATACAATTACCTATAAAGAACGCCTTTAATGGGCAGACTACATATGCATCAGACACTAGATTTCACATCGGTATTTTCTTATCATGTATAACATTAAAATACTTCAAACGTATTATGGTGTATACTAATCAACATTACAATCCTTGTAACACGAGACATTTGCTCTTAATACGATGTAACATGCTAAAATAAAATAGAATTTACAGCACCGCTAAATATTCAGTACTATTGTGGTTAGTAAAAACTGTTTAATATAAGTTTCTGAAGATGAAAAAGTATTAATGATGTAAATTGAATTTGCAAACAGAACATTCAAATAATTACTACATTAAAAAAAAGCAATCATTCAACATTAATTGATTCAGATCTCCCCTCTCGGCTAATATTACCATCATTCTCACAGTTCAGATTATTTATCTTGATATAACAAACAATAACTGCTTTGCCAATAAGGATTAACATTTTCGTAACATGTTGACAAAGAACGTACAACGTCAGGAAAATAGCGTGAGTAACTGTTAATACTGAGAAGACACTGAGAAATCTGGCCGTGTGTACGAACACAAAAACATAACGGAAGGAAATGTGCAAATAGGCGTAAACTGGAAGGAAGAAGAATACCTAAGACGTCAATAAGAGTAGGACACGGCTGAGAAAGCAGAAACGAGGTGCGAGGCGATGCACTATTTCCCAGTAATGAAATTCTATTTCGGAACAGAGATATGTTTTCTCCGTGACATCGTATATCTTGTCAAGGTCAACAGTTCCCCTCTATTTTAAATTCTTCCAATTTCGTTTTGGGCAGCAACGACATTACCTCTGGATGGACAATTGGTTATTATAAATTACCCGAATTTCTTTATAAAGTGGATATTGCTGTTCTTCTGGAAGACTTTCCGGACTTCAGAGTTATATTTACTTATTTTATTCGTTGTACAATTTAATTATTACATAATAAATGTGTGTTTAGAAAATAGCTTATGGAGGTGTAAATTTAAAACAACGCGTAATTATGTTATGAATTCATTAGACTTCTCTACGAATAACACAAGAATATTTCTAGCATGTTAAAGAACAATTTGTAATTACTCAGAACAATATGAATTAATATTAATAGTAATAAAACTAAATACATAATTTTCCAATATGTGATTACTCCACGTCAGTACCCTTAGGAAGGACTCACGAAGACGGTACTACGTTTTTGCACAGAAAAAGTGCACAGGTTACAAGCTTTCAGAACTTTGCTAATGCTGAAAGAATGTGTCTAGTTACATTTTCACCGTCTGACAAGATATTTAACGAGTTGAAAATTATGTTCGAAGAGAAGGAAAAATAACGCATATAAAAGAGCAATAATTTATTCACGTACGGATTCTATAAAGATGAATTGAAAAAACAACATAAACTATTCTTCTACTAGTTTATAAAATACGTTACAGTGCAGTATGAAAACGTCATGTACAGATCTCTTGCAACATATTCTTGAAATATTTATAAAAGATATCGGTTTCGAATTAACAGAATAACGTAAAGGTAAAGTAATTTCCTGTTACTGAATTATTTGGTAGTGAATCACACCATAAGAGGGGGAAAATACATTGATCCACTTTAGTAGTTCCATAAAAAAAGAGGAAGATTTATTACTGATTTTTTTTCTGAAACTTGCAACTTTTCAGCAATGTTAACTATTCTATGGATAACAAAATATATTAATTTGTGGTAATGCAAGTGGTAATTATATTTCAATGAACTTAAAGCCTGTACAGAAGTGCCAGTGCAATTTCAGTTTTTTCCACAATACATTCATGCTAATTGCTGTTTTGCTAATTACTTATTTGTTCAAATGGATATTCGCTAGCAGCAATATACGTTTATGGAATTCATTTGTTGACCTTTCCTTACCTCATGTGTATGGATAGTTTATTTATATGACCGAAGTTAGTTATGATATAATAAACGATAAAATAAATTATATCTGATGAGGCGTAAAAGTAAACCAAAGCTTCTATCGATTACATTGCAGGTGAGCGCAGTACTCTACAAAAAACAAATATGCAGTCAAATAATAAGGAAGGAAAGAAGTGTTGCGAAAATGACCAGTCGGTACAAACACTTTTATCGATAACTACAAGGAACATTTCTACTTACAAGTTAAACTCCATTTTACATTTCTAGAATCGTGCCTTGTCATAGCAGCGATGGCCACAGGATAATATGCCAAATATTTTACCTAAACTCAGAAACGTTTATGACATTAATCGCCGAATATTAAAAAGCGATTGCGCAACGAACCTGCTAGCACAACAGTAGAAAATGTACCGGAATCACTGAAGACCATATTTTTTGAATGCAAAGACATGCTTGAAGTTCACAATATCTTAATTCTGCAAGTCAGGGAACCCGACTGATACGAGATCAGTTTCATAAAAGAAAGTGAAATTTTTTCTTCGTTTAGATATAAAGCATGTTTTCTGAAGCGCTGGTTCAGATTTCATAAACAATTTTTTGCGTTTCTTTATAATATATTACTTGCGTATCTCCCACGAATACTTAACTTTCCTCGGAGTGTGGGGTAAGTCTGATTTCTGAAACAAATAGTAGGAGACATCACCACCTGTATGTTTTTGATGTAACGTGGCGCGAGGTAGTCATTTTACGACGTCATTAAATCATTATTCCCGTTCAATACGAGAAGCGAATGCATTAATATACGAACCATTGTCGAGCAAAAATCCTAAAATTTTGTAATTACCTATATTTTGAAATTTCCATTACATTTTATAATTGTACACAGTAACAAAAAAGTTAGCACCATTTTGAGAATTCTCGTATGAGCAATTTACGTGCGAATTCTGTTACGTGCGTTATCTTTCGAAGCTATGAGTAATAAAGTTTTTGAAGAAAGAAAGAAGTTGGCATAGAATTAATTAATCCTCATGGACAACGTAGTTAAATCATTGCCGCATACACGTATCCATGACAAAAACGTAAACCGATAAAATATTTAAAGCAACATTCGTCTCATCTTACCAAACGCCTCCACACCAAACACCTCAACTTACGAGAAAAACAAACACGAACATGATATCCGCCCGCATACGCACTAGAGTAGGCCACGACCATAAAGCAGGGCAATATGTTACGGTAGGAGTCAATGAAACCCAGCCCGGCTTATCGCGCACGCCTTCGCTGTCCGACCACCGTACGCCGGGCCCTAGAGGGATCGTGACTACCAGACGCATATGTAGGCCGCAGTGTTGCGGAATCAAACGAACCGCCTACAATCGCTCTGCGAATCTCACGATGGTCGGCGCTGCCTGGAGAAACCTCGGCGTGTTCTCCCTTTTGTTCCCAAGCGATTATTCCTCAAGGAACGAGGATCCGGGTTCAAATTCCAATTACCTACGACTAGCATCATAAAACAGAACTACGCCGTCCTTGGAGAACGGGAACACTTACAAAACCGACTGGAACAAATGCCAGTCGACACAATGCCTGGAACATTTCTTTAACTGCGGTCGGTTGTTTTTTCCTTCGTCACGTTCAGTCGAGAATGATATAAAGAAATTAAGTGGAGATTATTCGGTCACGTAGTCAGTTCTGTTGATTTCCATTAATATTAAAAAGTGAAATTGGTATTGGTATCTATTAAACACACTTGTTAAATCTCTTCAATCTGGGCAATTGAAACATAACAGGTAGGATATCTTTTATATTCTTCATCTATTTCACACTTGTGGTCGCTGGAGATATCCACAAACAGAAGTTTCAGGAAATCCAAAATGTTTCTTGATGCGGAGAACACTGGTTCCTTTCACACGAAATTATGTTTCTGAATATTTGCACACATACACACACATATATCGTCTGTAGAGCTGAATGACGTCACATTCTGGAACCACGTATCGATCCATCGCGGACCCGCCAGTGACCACCGTCGCGAGAACCTTCCACTCCCACGTCATTGGCGGGAGACAGACGAGGCAGGTCAGTACCCGACGACATCCCCACTTCGGCTTCCAGGCGCAGCTCGCTTCCGCCGTGGAATTGATTGTCGTTCAATTCCGATCGATGCCGACCAAATGACCCCTATTTCGGAATTAATTCGAGATGTAAAGGGGGTATTTTAATTATAATTTCAATTATATACACGCATACTTTAACAACTCTCTCGCTTATATTGCGCGTCCAACACGAGTGCACACACACAGAATCGTAATATCACATTCTCATCAAAATATTCATACAGAAGCGAATTTCACAATCGTTCCAAACACGCATTTGCAACGAGTTAGCCGCATCATAACATAAAAGGCTTCCTTTACGACCTCTATTCTTTTCACGAACGTACTTTTATTACACCACTGCGTTTGCAAAACACTGCGAGGGCGTTGAGGCAAAATATGGCGCCACAAAATCCAAGTCGTTCCATTGTGTCCGGTGCTTCCGTTATTCGCGGCGGGGGGGCCACGTCTGTTCGAAAGGAGGCGAGCAAAAATTCGACCTCGACGGTGATTGCGAGCCGAGCGTTGAAGTCACCGAGGCTACACCCGTTCCTGCAGCCACATCGAGAGTTACGTACCTGCAACTGGAGAGAGCTTCCGCATGACGCACCACCTGGATTTCCACTGTGGAACAGAAGCAGAAGCTCGGATTAGGCCCCCAACGCACAGCACGCGGCTTGTATGTTCTCATTTTTTTTAATGCCAGCGTTGACGCCGGCGGATTGTAAAAGGGGAAGGAATAGAGAGAAGTCAATGGCGATCAATAACCAACGAGTTGCACTCGTAATATCACACTTCGAATGTCGTAATAGAAAACCATTTTATTACGGAAGTTTGACATTTGGTTTTATCAACCATTCTATTCAGTAAAAGTTAATCTGGAAAGCATACTTCAAAGTAAGGTACTTTACTTGGGTGAAAGTCTCGTGTTTACCTAAGCGAGATATGACATCACGCAGTAAAGATAAGATGCCTATTCAAGACGATAAATATGACGAGCATAATACGCAACAGAATAAGAACTTCACTAAAGCGCTCTCTTACAACCGCAGGTACTACGCAAAAACTTGCTTTAATGTAGTCAATTGTAATTCGAATTAACAAAACCCAATTAGTATCGAAATTAAAAACACGCCTCAAATCATTTGATAAACAGCGTTTGTACTGTAATGACGTATAGAGTCTAGCCAATAGATTTTGGCAAACACGCATGAGAACAACATCGCATCAGTATTCTGCACCGCAAGTTTTGGCCCAAGTCCCAAGTAGCAAATCTCTTGGCACGATACCGCTGCTTTGAGAAAAATTCTATGTACACGCTACGATCTCGCAATTACTTCGCCAGACTTCGTCAGTACGGGGGAAGGAATGAGTGGCAAAAATCCAGAAACCGCAACACGGAGACTCATACATACCTTCTTTCCATCACGAAACTTTACTGTTCCTTCAATTACTGTGTTGCTATCCATGTCGAAAAGTTTTCGCGTAAATTTTACACTCAATCAGCAAAGCCAACAAAAAAAACAACACAAAATAAGCACTAAAACACAAAGGGGGGAACTAGAGCCGCACACTTCAACACTGGAGAAAACAGGCGATCACTGCTGGCGTGGGGTCATGGCGCTCGTAGCGAGACGCGAACCCAGCGGGCAGGCGGCGCCGCGCGTACAGCACCACTCCGCTCCGCCCAGTGCCAGCGTCCCGGCGCGACTGACGGCCGCTGCGGCGGCGGCCACGCGCGGCGCAGCGCTAGCGGCGGCGCGCGCCGCGACACTACAGCCATCTCTTAGCGGGCGCGTCAACTTCGTCGGCGGAACGACGCGGCGAGCGAGCCGACGGCGTGTGTGCACACGGCTGTGTACACGTATGTACGAACATTCATGGACAATATGCGAACAAGCGGGCGACTTATGGGGACTACATCAGCCGACGCGGCCGTTCCCTCGCCGCTGGAGATGGAAATTTATAAACGCCGTATTTCTGGGATGTGTGCGTGGAGTAGCAGGGATGGAGAGCTCAGGGAAGCGAGCGTCGTATAGTTCGAGTGGTACAGCGAAGGAAATACATATTTTCCTTTCTTTAAGACCGAAAAAATTGAATTAATTTATAGCAAAAAAGAGTTATCGTGTATGTTCTATGCAAAATTATTATCAGTTAACTAAGCGTGACAGTCATTTGGAATTGAATCCATTTATCCGTAATTGAGAATTTTATGAAAGAACGCAACGTTTCAAGTTGGGGTTGTGAATCATTATTTTGAAAAAATCCGAAAACTAACTCCGAAAATATACGATTTTATGCACGTTCTCGCAATAATTCAAATGGCATGGTTGACGTCTCTTTTAAACACTTTAAACACGTGCACTACAAGGCAATTTCAAACCAACACTGTTTGTTACATTACCTACTACTATTTATTATTAGTAGCGTCTCCCAATTAGACAAACAAAAAGACGCATAAAATGAAGCTGTGCTACCTTACATCTGTTGGTCTATCAGAAACCATTAAAATATTTCCAGGCGATACTAGTACAAAGAGATGTGCTTCCATTGTTAAAAGTCTCTAAATAAACATTCCCTGTATTCTTCCCCGAATTCCAATCCTGGCGACAACTAATTACCAAGAACCGAAACTTCGCATGCGAAGCGCACAAAGTAACTTCCGTGCGTTCATCAGAGTGTCCGGAAGCAAGTGGTTCGCGTTGGGCGTCATGCGGTCCTGCGGGAGGTATTCTTAGCCACGCGCGGGCGGCGGGCGGCGGGGCTCAAATGCACCGCTAGGCAGGGGCGCGTGCTGCGCAGGTGAGGCCCATCTGCCGGGGCGGCCAACCGGATCGCCCACCCAGCCGCCTCCGCCGCCCCGCGCCGCCTGGCACCGCCCCGCCCCCGCACCCTCTGCACCCTCGCGCCCGCCCTCTCCCGGCACTCGGGAGCTGCGCCGCTCGCTCCTCTTTCCCTGATGTCTGGGGCCTGTCTCTCATCTCGGGCTCCTTGGCCGCCACCTTCCGCACGGGTTGCTGTGGAGGGAATTCAATTTGGTGGTCCCGCGTGGTAGATTTATCGAATATTTAAAACTATTGCATTTGTGTTGGAAATTCATTTGTGGCTACGTGAGCTTTTGTTTATGAATTTTATTCTCTCTCAGGACTTCACCACGTTATATCATCATATGGAATAAAAATACTATGCACAAATTCCATCCTGATGACCCGGATTTTTTTATCGTGCTTCTGCTTTAAAACTTTAGAGGCTCTTTCCGTTGCTTGGTATCACATATTTTACTTTTATGGGAAGTACATAATGATACTGAAGATTTGAATTCACTTCCTAACTGAACTCTAATAATGAAGAGAAAATTAATTCGCATTGGCATCGCAGCAAAAATATTTTCCGTACTTTTCTTATTTGCCAGTAAGCACGCAATTATTACTCTCTCGGAAGAAAATAGTGCGCGAATTATTAATCAGGATTCCTTTTTCCGTTGTCTTTCATATTTTCTCATGGAAGTATGGAAGAAATCCAAATACGTACTTACACCTGTGAACCTTTGTGGTTACCACTATTCTCAATTAAATTCTGATTTACTTCTGATTCTTTCAACCGAATCAATGACTGACCTAAGTTTCAAGATTTATTAAAGAGAGGCAAACTCCTACAGTACTATAACATAACAACGAAATTATAGTCTCAGTAATGTTTCCGCTTCAATAACATGCTGTATTAAAAACAATAATTATCCTTGCAAATGAATAACGAGAGTAATCAAATTTTCCATCAGTGTATGTGCAGCAAGTTTTTGTAATGGTTTGTGACAAAGCTCCAGAGATACCTCTCCCTCATGTCGATCGCTGTAAATGTACTTTCGTAGTGGACATGCACACATGGACAACACATCACGTGACACACCATTTGACGAGGACGTACAATTTAATAACCTATAAATTATATTCATAGCGGGTTTAATTGAAAAATAAAATAATGTTAAAATTGAGTGAACCTCAAAATTTGATATTTATATGTTCACACGGATGTTATTTATTTGTTTCACCATTCACTATTAAGTAGAAAATTATAAATACGAAAATTAATTTGCAATTCACTTTATATACTATGTTAATAAATAATAATTCATGTGTTTCAATACAAAGAGCTGCAATTAACATTTCGCTGCTACTCTTCATATCATTATCATTTAGCAATTCGAAAACAGCATATCCAGCAGTTCCAAATTCTAAAATCGTATTAAATGGATCAGTAACTCTCCATTTGTTTGCTCCATTTTGAAACGAACTTTCGGCCTTACAGAATAATTCAACGTTGTAAGATCAAGAAATGGTAGTGTATATAAGTGACAAGGAATACTATAGAATTTATAGTGATAAACATTTATTCATTGTAGTTCAAAAACTACTGTTACAGGGTTTTTAAAACTTCGATTTACTATACACGTACAATGTGCAAAACGTTTATGCATTATTAGCTACATAAATACAGTAAGGTCCTGCCTGCTGTTGAGGGGACTGTTTGAATGAGATAATACCAAGATAAAATATATTGTTTACAAATATTCGGTTTTCGTGTGGCTATTTATTCCATTGCAACTTATTATATCGACTATTTTTTTAAATTTATTAAGGAAATGAATACGTTTGCGTACTAGTATGTTTCATACCGTAATGCAAATAAAGAAATTTGTTTGAGCACAAACATTTCTTTATTCCATAATTTGTTTATCATATTGACAAATGTACGATCCTAAAATCGCTAACCATTGTGTCAGTTATTCTTTGGTCTTTCAGTGACCACGAGGTCCTTGGATTCGTGTCCGGAGGGTGGCACGATTTTCGACAGATAGTTTTCCGTGGATTCTCCGATTCACACCAGGCGAATACCGGAGCAGCATCCTAAAATACCGGCCACGAACCTCGCGCGATATTTCCTTCCTATTCCTTGATTATCCTCAATCCTTTCTTACACACACTTCCACTTACATGAACTACACATGCTAAGAGACCAAATGGAGTTTAGACCTTGACCCTCTGGGGCTATGTCTCACTGATGGGAGATACCTGGATGAGGAAAACTCTGCGAGCCGCCACTTTCCGCGACAAAATCATGCAATACACTTATTAAACTAATGACCTAGCAGTTGCGTATGGAATCACTAATCAATCAATAAATCTTTTGGTCTCATAGCTTATTGCAGAAACTATATGGAATTTGAAGAAACACTCGTACAGCGTGCTTGCAATACTTTGG